TTACCAACAACCCCCTAGCTGTCTTAAAGAGAAGCAACAGATTCCTCCAAAGTTCCTGATAGACCAATGTGGTGCATACATTGAACTGCGGTGGCAGGCACTAATAGGTTGATCGATCAGGTCAGCAACCAGGAGGCCTGGGTAGGACCATCACTGGGATGGTGACCTCTGAAAGCAACTCCAGGTATAAAAAAAAAAAAAAAAAAAAAAAAAAAAAAAAAAAAAAAAATCTTCGGATAGTTGTATTGCTTTCATAACAAATCAGGTTAATTGTTGTCTGCTTTAGTACTGTATCTTAAAAGAGCACTCAAACTAAAAATTTAAATTACAGGTTTATTTGCTATTACACATACAGTAGACTGTCATTAAGACACTTATCTTCTACGCCATATATGTTATGACAATTGCAAAACTGCGCAGATTTTCAATCGTTACTCCATGAAATTCATTTATGACACCGCAACTTTAAAAGAAAAATAGCTACAAGCTTTTACAAGAAGGCTTGTAACCTCCTAAAATCAGTGTATCTACACATTATTGTGAGTGTCTTGGTTGGTAAAATATGGTATTTTTACAGCTGTTTGCAAACAAGTGGCTTTGGTAGAGGCAGGCAATAGTTGTTGTAAGTAACAACTGTGGGACTGCCTGTCATATGTCTGCACAGGTATTGTACAGGGTCACATCAACCCTCCCCAAACATTCTCATATCAACAAGCAATAACTACAGTACCTAGAAAACTACTATTTGTGTGTTTTGATAAATTGCAAAGTTTCAAAAAAACATTTGGTTGGCTTTTTGGGGGTCTAATGAATGTAACCCTATTTTTTCCATGTTCTTCCGAGGCTGAGAGCAGCCGATGTCTTGCCATCAGCTGCAGAAAGTACTGCAGAGTAAGCGTACAAAGATACATTACAGAATTTCTCATTACTCCAGTACAACCATCAACTTCGAGTGCCAAAGCCTTAATCATCCACCTCTGCAAACAATCCACAACCTACCACCTCAGCCCATTAGAGCCACTGTATCCCTCTCCACTGTCCAGAATGACCTAGGTCAATCTACAATTTAACTAAATATGAAAACTAATATTTACTTTCTTCTAACATTGAGTTTTCCTCTCTAAGATGACTTAAGTACAAGAGAGCACACACAGAAACTGAGGCAGCCTGAGCCAGCTACTCTTACAAGCATGAAAATGGACAGGTCTTAGATGAAGCTTGGCCTACACAAACTTGTAATTAAAGACTTGGGCCACTTTATTGATGGTACAAACAGACCAGACAGCCATGCAATAGAGCAGATTTGCTATTTTTATCAGGCACCCCATTAACCCTTTCAGGGTCCATGCCGTAGATCTATGGCTTTACGTTCAGGGTCCAAACCGTAGATCTACGCCATGAGCTCAGCTCACTCTGATAAGCTGTGAGCAGTAAATTTGGGCCTAGATATGAGAGAATACATCTGTGGGATATGTGTGCACCACATAAAACAAATCCTGCAGCACACACAGCATAATGAGAGAAAAAAAAACGAGACCGTAATTTTCGATTAAAACAGTGACTTTGCAATGCTTTCTCATATGTTTTTTATACAGGTCCTCCATCACAAATACGGCATCACTGGGACCTGTAGTGTGCCGGATTACTGAGTTTGCCGAAATACAGAGTGGTTAGGTTAGAATACACTTAATAAAATTAACCAACTTGACTTACACAGTTCATTGAACATCGGCAAAAATCAAACATTTCTGCTACTTTGAGTTCAATTTCAAGGTACTTTTCGTCACGAAAGCAATCAAAATCATGTCTATTTCTGTAATATATCTTCCATTCTATCAAATGAGCTCAAAAAAGAGAATACAACCATAAAAACCATACGAAAATATACTGCAAAGAGGCGGCTAATGGCTGAGAAGTCAACTCCCTTATTTATCGTCCGTCTTTTTTATTTTTGTTGTACGTTAAGAAGCATCTTTCCATCATACATTGCCCAAGTTTCAATGAGATAGCCCAACAAACAACCAAGAAAAAAAAATATTTACCAAAAATCATATATGGCAAGCCCAAGCCAGGTACTGGAAATAAGTCACTGTCTGACTTTTCTGGGTTATCCTAAGTTCTCTATACATACACTGCTATGTATGATAATCTATAACTGTATTTGTGTATACCCGAATAGACTTTTACTTCTAGTCTGTCAACCGAGTACAAGAAACTGCCCATTCACTTATTTCAACTAACCAATAAAGTGGTCAGAAATTGGCAATTTGGCCAATTTCACACAAATTTCAACAGATGCAAGTTTCAAAATAGGATCCAGAATAAACAATGCATACATTCCTGGCACTAAAATAACTTTCTCTGTTCATTAGTCACGGCTACAGGCCCCTCTTATATTACTCTTGCTTACCATTTGGAATTTTTATTCACAAAAAAAAATCAATGATTTTCTGTTATGCACACTACTGCATTATTGTAATAATTGTATAAATAATGCCAATCCATTCTTGACTCCGTACTGGAATTTAGACTGGCAGGCGGACAGGTATTGGACAGTGACGTCATTTGTTTACTCTTGAGCTTCGCTAAAGAATAGAACATTTGCTATTGTGAGCGAAATTTTCAAGGTACTTTTCATCATGAAAGCAATAAAAATCATATCTATTTCTGTAATATATCTTTCATTCTATCAAATGACACCGAAAAAGTGAGAATACAACCATACAAAAATATACCGCTAAGCAGCCGCTAATGGCTGAGAAGTGAACTCCGCTATTTATGGTCTGATTTCTTTCATTTTTGGTGTACGTGAAGAAGTATCTTTCCATCAAACATTGCCCAAGTTTGAGCAAGATAACCCAACAAACAACTGAGAAAATAATAATATCTTTATTTACTACACGTACATGTACAAGGTATACAGACATAGCTGACATCAGTGACATACTACTGTATAGAAAGGCACTTGTTATGCTGAGTATTTCAAGAAAATTAGGTCAGTGTCCCAGGATAACACCCACACCAGTCGACTAACACCCAGGTACCCATTTACTGATGGGTAAACAGACAACAGGCGTAAAGAAACACGCCCGTTTCTACCCTGGCTGGGAATCGAATATTTATCAAAAATCATACATGGCTAACTCAAGCCAGGCACTAAAAATAAGCCAAGCTGACTTTTTTGGGGTTATCCTAGGTTCTCTACACATATGCTGCTGTGTGATAATCTACAGAGAAAATAACTTTTTTGTTTCATTTTTTTGGTGGAGTACGAGTGTATACGACAGTTAGCCCTGTGCTACACTCCGTTTTCTCTAATATAAGCCACCAAGACAGGGATAGGAGAATGGTATTTGTATACCATATCCTCTTCATAACTGTCGAACTGCTCGGTGTTATGCCAAATATTTATTCTGGAGTATTTAACATGTTTTATGTTATTTATATTGTTTCTTATGTCATATTAGATCAATTGTGATAGGCAAATAAGCTGTACTGTTGATATTAGCGTAATAATAAAGCATATTCTCCTGCTTCATGAGACTGAGCTCATGGCAACCGACAGTGGCTTCAAAGCCACCTTATCTTTAATGGATTATTACTGTGTAGTGCTTAAAATAATGAGAAGCATTTCTTTTATTCATTGGGAAACCCTGGGTAGGGGTAAAAGTAAGCAGATTAAAACAATAAATGGAGAAAAAGAAATTGGAATGACTTATGCAGCAAGTAGCGCCACCAAACAGTACCAGCAGGTTAGTGTTGCGACGCTGGAAATTTGCAATTATGCTAGCCAAAATTAGTGCCGAATAACTGAAGGAACCGAATAACTGATTGCCGGATTTGTGATGGCGGACCTGTAGTAGTATTTGCAACTTCTTGGTCTCATTTGATAGAATGGAAGATATACTACAGAAATAGAGATGATTTTGATTGGTTTTAGTACGGAAAATGGCTTGAAACCGAGCTCAAAGTAGCAGAAATGTTAATTTTTTGCAAATGTTGAAGAGTAAACAAATGACCTCAAGTCTAATACATGACAGCTGGTGGGTCTAATATACATTCACAAATGTGGTGATAGTATTTATACAATTATTACAGTATTGCATAACAGTAAATCTTCTATTTTTTGGTTTGAATAAAAATTCATTATATACATTCACAAATGTGGTGATAGTATTTATACAATTATTACAGTATTGCATAACAGTAAATCTTCTATTTTTTGGTTTGAATAAAAATTCATTAAGTGTATAAAAAATCAAAATGGAATTCATCTGTAAAGCCTGAAAATGTAACTAATGAACAGAGGAAATGTTAGTCTAGTGCCAGGAATGCCTGCATTGTTTATTCTGGACCCTATTTTGAAATTGGAATATTCTGAACTTTGCATTAAATTGGCCAAATTACCAATTTCCGGTCACTATTTTATTTTCGATACAGTTGACTTGGAGATTTCTTGTGCTCAATCGACAGAACAGAAGTAATACTAGTGAAATAGCTATGAATTTGGTTGACCGGAATGCTGTAATTGACCTAAAATGGGAGTCAGTCGGCAAAATCGCAGATGCGTAAATATCGCAGACACGTCAAAATTCGTGAGCATAATTTTGTCAATTTTCCATCAAATTTCGTACTTTTTGTTTTATTACCTTCAGAAAAAGATTCTCTACCATTTTGTAAGAAAAAACAAAATTACTTTTTGAAAATTCTTGGACCCTGGTGCACACTTTGAAATTTGGCCTCTGGACCCTGAAAAGGTTACGCAGACAAGTTTAGCCTTTCTCCAGCCTGATTTCTGCCCATTTTAGCCGATAACCATTTTATAGAGGGTTTACTGTAAGGTAACATGAGCTTCATAGTTCCAGTCTCCCCCAAGCCACACTGCTCTTTTCTCCAATGTTTGGATTTGGCACATTCTTCACTGCTGCACACCTAAAAAGACTCCCCTATTTACTTTTCAGTTCAAAATTATTTTTTTTTCAACATTTAAATATACTTACCTGAAGGGCCTTGATAACATGAAGGTTAGGAATCTTCTCAAGCTCTGGATGCTTGGGCATGAAGAGGTCACGCTCTGCTACCATCACCCCTTCTGCAAACAATGTTTAAAAGTTAATTTTACTACAGCACTGTAAACTCAAGTGACGTGGTTCTCAGACACAAAGACCAAAACCAAACTAATTAAAAGGTCCAGATGAACTGTTTTCAGGGGTTATGAAGGAATGTGAGGAAGAACTTAACAAACCATTTGCTAGCCTTTTCAAATCACTGCAAACAGGTATTGTAGTATTTTTATTTTTTATTTTTTTTTATCACACTGGCAGATTCCTACCAAGGCAGGGTGGCCCGAACAAGAAAAACTTTCACCATCATTCACTCCATCACTGTCTTGCCAGAAGGGTGCTTTACACTACAGTTTTTAAACTGCAACATTAACACCCCTCCTTCAGAGCGCAGGCACTGTACTTCCCATCTCCAGGACTCAAGTCCGGCCTGCCGGTTTCCCTAAACCCCTTCATAAATGTTACTTTGCTCACACTCCAACAGCACGTCAAGTATTAAAAACCATTCGTCTCCATTCACTCCTATCAAACACGCTCAAGTACGCCTGCTGGAAGTCCAAGCCCCTCGCACACAAAACCTCCTTTACCCCCTCCCTCCAACCTTTCCTAGGTCGACCCCTACCCCGCCTTCCTTCCACTTGACTGATACACTCTTGAAGTCATTCTGTTTCGCTCCGTTCTCTCTACATGTCCGAACCACCTCAACAACCCTTCCTCAGCCCTCTGGACAACAGTTTTGGTAATCCCGCACCTCCTCCTAACTTCCAAACTACGAATTCTCTGCATTATATTCACACCACACATTGACCTCAGACATGACATCTCCACTGCCTCCAGCCTTCTCTTCGCTGCAACATTCATCACCCATGCTTCACACCCATATAAGAGCGTTGGTAAAACTACTCTCTCATACATTCCCCTCTTTGCCTCCAAGGACAAAGTTCTTTGTCTCCACAGACTCCTAAGTGCACCACTCACCCTTTTCCCCTCATCAATTCTATGATTCACCTCATCTTTCATAGACCCATCCGCTGACACGTCCACTCCCAAATATCTGAATACATTCACCTCCTCCATACTCTCTCCCTCCAATCTGATATCCAATCTTTCATCACCTAATATTTTGTTATCCTCATAACCTTACTCTTTCCTGTATTCACTTTTAATTTTTCTTCTTTGCACACCCACCAAATTCATCCACCAATCTCTGCAACTTCTCTTCAGAATCTCCCAAGAGCAGTGTCATCAGCAAAGAGCAACTGTGACAACTCCCACTTTATGTGTGATTCTTTATCTTTAACTCCACGCCTCTTGTCAAGACCCTTGCATTTACTTCTCTTACAACCCCATCTATAAATATATTAAACAACCACAGTGACATCACACATCCTTGTCTAAGCCTACTTTACTGGGAAATAATTTCCCTCTTTCCTACAATACTCTAACTTGAGCCTCACTATCCTCGTAAAAACTCTTTACTGCTTTCAGTAACCTACCTCCTACACCATACACCTGCAACATCTGCCACATTGCCCCCCTATCCACCCTGTCAATATGCCTTTTCCAAATCTATAAATTGCCACAAAGACCTCTTTAGCCTTATCTAAATAATGTTCACTTATATGTTTCACTGTAAACACCTGGTCCACACACCTCCTACCTTTCCAAAGCCTCCTGTTCATCTGCTATCCTATTCTCAGTCTTACTCTTAATTCTTTCAATAATAACTACCATACACTTTACCAGGTATACTCAACAGACTTATCCCCCTATAATTTTTGCACTCTCTTTTGTCCCCTTTGCCTTTATAAAAAGGAACTATGCATGCTCTCTGCCAATCCCTAGGTACCTTACCCTCCTTGCCCTATACACGAAATCACAGCTTCCCCTATCTTCATCAACATTTACAATTCCTCAAAATATTCCCTCCATCTTCCCAATACCTCTAACTCTCCATTTAATAACTCTCCTCTCCTATTTTTAACTGACAAATCCATTTGTTCTCTAGGCTTCCTTAACTTGTTAATCTCACTCCAAAACTTTCTTATTTTCAACTAAATTTGTTGATAACATCTCACCCACTCTCTCATTTGCTCTCTTTTTACATTGCTTCCACCACTCTCTTAACCTCTCTCTTTTTCTCCATATACTCTTCCCTCCTTGCATCACTTCTACTTTGTAAAACACTTCTCATATGCTAACTTTTTCTCCCTACTACTCTCTTTACATCATCATTCCACCAATCGCTCCTCTTCCCTCCCGAACCCACTTTCCTGTAACCACAAACTTCTGCTGAACACTAACACTACATTTTTAAACCTACCCCATACCTCTTCAACCCCATTGCCTATGCTCTCATTAGCCCATCTATCCTCCAATAGCTGTTTATATTGTAGTAATAAGTAGAAAATGGCAACTGTGATACCAAACTAATTTTTTTCGTACCAAGATAGCCTTGGAAATAAATGGTATAAAATACCGACACAATGGAAATATAAACACAAATGCAGTATAATGTGATCCTTTATTGACTACGTTTCGCCCACACAGTGGGCTTTTTCAAGTCACAAACAGAACAGCACAGAACAGAACAGCAGTTCTGTTTGTGACTTGAAAAAGCCCACTGTGTGGGCGAAACGTAGTCAATAAAGGATCACATTATACTGCATTTGTGTTTATATTTCCACCAAGATAGCCTTATCAGCTTCTATATGAATGTTATCATATTCAACAAATTTTTTTCTCAGGGTCCCTGATTTTCATGCAGCTGATTTTGTGGGGATGAGGGCTCATGTAGGTGGAGTCGACTAGACTGACCCGAGAACTTCTTATTCCATGGAGCAGGTAGGTGAAGACGATAGTCGATATGACATTTTTCAAAGCATAGTACAAGCAGCCCAGGCAACATATGTTCCAAATAGGGAAATTATTCAAATAAAAATGACCCTAAATAGATAAGTTAAAAAACAGGCTTTTATAGGCAAATCAAAAGCAGAGACAATTAAGGAACAAATATATTGACCCTTTCAGGTCCAGAGGCCAAATTTCAGAGGGTGCACCAGTGTCCAATAATTTTCAAAAAATATTTTTTTTATTTTTTCTTATGAAATGGTAGAGAATCTTTTCTGAAGGTAATAAAACAAAAAGTACGAAATTTGGTGGAAAAATTACGAAATTATGCTCTCAACGAATTTTGATGCGTCGGCAATATTTACCCATCGGCGATTTGCCAACTTTGACTCCCATTTTAGGCCAATTACATTATTCCAGTCGACCAAATTCTTAGTTATTTCAGTAGTATTTCTTCTATTCTATCGATTGAGCACAAGAAATTGCCAAATCAAACTGTTTCAACTACAAAATAATGTGATTGGAAATTGGTAATTTGGCCAATTTAATGCAAAGTTCAAAATAGGGTCCAGAATAAACAATGCAGACATTCCTGGAACTAAACTAACATTTCCTCTGTTCATTAGTTATGTTTTCAGCTTTACAAATGAATTCCATTTCTATTTTTATTCGCAGTGAATTTTTATTCAACCAAAAAATAGAAGATTTACTGTTACGCAATATTGTAATAATTGTACAAATAATATCACCACATTTGTGAACGTATATTAGACTCACCAGCTGGCGTGTATTAGACTTGTGAGGTCATTTGTTTACTCTTGAACATCGACAAAAATTTAACATTTTCACTACTTTGAGCTCATTTCAAGCCATTTTCCAATACTAAAACCAATCAAAAATTATCTCTATTTCTGTAATATACTTCCATTCTATCAAATGAGACCAAGTAATCACAAATAAAACCATAAAAAACACAAAAAACACTGCAAAGTTGCTGCTTTAATAAAAAATTATGATCTAAGTTTTTTCTCTCATTTTGCACTGTGTTGTAGGGTTTTGTTTTATGTGGTGCACACATACCACATAGATGTATTCTCTGATATCTAGGCCAATTTACTTCTCACAGCTTATCAGAGCGAGCTGAGCTTATTGGCGTAGATCACGGTTTGGACCCTCAACGTAAAGCCGTAGCTCTACAGCATGGACCCTGAAAGGGTTTAAAGTTACAAGGGACACAAAAACTAGCCCAAAAGGTTTCTTTCAGGTATATAGGAGTAAGATTAGGAGAAGGATGATGATCCCATGTATCATACATCTTTCCTACAAGAATAGGCTGAGGCACTGAATCTGCACTTTGGAAACTCTCAATCACGGGATGTAACTGAAATGTACAAACGAAGACAGGAATAGAGGATATAAATAAAGCTATGAAAATATCTAGTGACTGGACTCTCAGCAATGGGTTCAAGTTGGAAAAATTTAGATTTAGAAAGGATATAGGAAAGCACTGGTGTGGTAATAGTTGTGGATAAGCGGAACACACTCCTGAATAGTGTTAGTGAGGTGAAAACCTTGTGTAGCTTTAAAAGTAGGTTAGACTAGTGCAAGAGTGGACGAGACTTGGACCTGCCTAGCATGGGTCAGTGGAAAATTAAACACATAAGTAGTATAACGTGGTCCTTTATTGACAGCGTTTTGCCCACATAGTGGGCTTTATCAAGTCAAACAGATCTACCTGGGTGAAAGGTACGCGAGTATTTATAGGATGGAGTCAGGTGAAGAATGCCAAGTCAGGTGGAGAATGATGCATGTGACAGTCTTCCAAGTAGGGTGATAGAAGCTAGGACCTTGGGTAGCTTTAAAGAGAGATTGGAGAAGTATATGAGTTGACCTTCTGCAGTGTTCGTCCATTCTTATGTTATGTGGGATAACAATGAAGTTTTTTGGCTAGGGGTTCAGTTTTTTCCTGTGCTCACTCAGAATCTGCAGCAATGAGTTCCTTGAGGAAGAATGCTCTCTAATTGAACAAGTATTTTCTATACTTCACTATCCTCGTCACTTTATTAGAGACTGCAGACAACGGGCATTAAACACCTTTAACACACCCAGAGAAGACACTGCCGAGTCGAGATACATAGTCTTCCCCACTAACTCCATTGCCAAACAAGTTTCCAACATCTTTTCCAATACCTCATTCCGAGTTATCTACCTCCACATCCACCACCATCAAGGATATTACCGGTAATAGACAAGACAAGCTTCAATACTCTGCAGGAGTATACATAATCTCTCGTAATGACCAACAAATTATACGTGGGTGAAACCTCCAGACCTCATAACATATATTTCAGAACATCAGTAAGCAGGCAGATCTGACGAATAAAGGAATGCCTGTGTTCAATGCCAAAATTCACACAACCATTCAATCAACCACAGAAACGCAAGACTTAATCGCCAAAGAAGACAACACTCAATACCGAAGAATCCTTGAATCACCAATTATCCGTACATCCAACAACCAAAACAATGGCTTCTATAACATACCTGAACCCCTGGCCATGAAATTTCATCGTTATCCCACATAAGAACATACGAATGGAGGAACACTGCATAAGGTCTACTCCCCAAGATCCTAGCCTCTATCACCCTACTCGAAGATTCTCATATGCAGCATTCCTACCTGATTCCATCCTATAAATACTTGTATACCTTTCACCCAGGTATGTCTGTTTGTAAATTAGACATGTGTAACTCTTGGGTATCTTTACTGAGGAAACATTTCGCTACTGTGTGCAAAACATTTCCTCAATAAAGATACCCAAGAGTTGCACGTATGTCTAATTTATCAACGTGTCTGTTCTCTGAACCATTCATCTACAGATCTGTTTGTGACTTGATAAAACCCACAGTGTGGGCAAAACGCTGTCAATAAAGGATCACATTAAACTGCTTTGTGTGTTTATTTTCCCATTGTGTCGGTATTTTTATACCATTTATTTCCAGCATGGGCTAGTAGGCCAGCTCCAGTGCTCCTTTATATTATTGGTTGTGCAGAAAAAAAAAATGAACAATGTAACCCAACCAAAAATTTTGTTTTCTATGACAGTTATAGTTATGATGGGTTACCTTAAGTTAGGTCTGTTTACAATAATAAAGTGTCCTCCCCCCCCCCCAGGCCCAAAGTCTCTCTCTCTATTGTACTATTCCCTCAATGCTGAATTTACATAATCTGTACTTAAGCTAAAATCCAATGAACTTAATAGTGACCCTGTGTTTTGTTGTAACTTTTTAAAATAAGTGTAATCTTACCAGGAAATTACTACTTTACAATTCTTACGCTTTAAATAAGGCCCAACCACCCCCAATGCAAATAAATCACCTTGGCTTAATTTGGGTTATCATACGTAATTTACACATTATGTAAAACAATTGTAATCCAAAAACTGCAACTGTACCTTAATAAACTTGCTTATTAAATTTCTTGGAACACATACACTAAAATCCTCCCAAGATTCAAGTCAATAGGAAATATTTACGGGGGACAGGACCCCATAAATATATAATACTATAAATATTTGCCGATTCACATAAACTTACCCTTAAAGAGGTGCTCATAGATGGCCACTCTGTTAGCTTTAGGCATCAACATTTTGGCTGGCCTCCGGGGGAACACTTCCCCGCTGCGGAGAAAAACATTCACATTACCCACATAAAACCCTTAAAATGCTTTCTTTGCAATCCATTATCATAAACTTAAATGCTTCAATGCCAAGACTCTTACAAGGAATGGATAATATGAAAGAAGAGTAAAGGATTACTTAGATAAGTGTTGATAATACTGGTGGAGGAGAGCGACACTTACCGCACAGCGTGGATGATAGTTGAGAAGGAACGCTGCTGCTGCTGCTGCTGCTGATCCTCACAACCATAACATGTAACAAGTGAACCTTCATATCCGCTCTTATACACATATATTTCTATTTAGGCTTTACACATCATATTGAACCTTAGTAAGTAAGTTTATTTAGGTGCGGACACACATAAATACAATTATACAAATTGTTATACATAGTAACACATTTTCAATGTTACCCAAGAAATATGTTTTGATAACTCTTTTAACTCAGATGCAAGTCCCACATAAATCCAAAACCTCTCAGGCTTGGAGTTTCAGATTTTGGGTCTTTATAAGCACATTGAGTTTTTACAAAGGTTAAGCCGGACGTGAGGAATATCATAAAGATTTTTGTGTCTAGTATTGTGACTTTGAGATCTATGGCAACTATTAAGAAAGTTTTTCGAGTCAGGATTCATATTTATTTATTTATTTATTTATTTATTTTATGTCTTTGTAAACAGTTCATTGAGATTTTATATTTACAATAGTGGGTTGCAATGCAAAGAGAGCCTCTATTATGCCTAGGCATTATGGGCCAACTTGACATTATTGGCTTACAAACTGCTTAACACTAAGGATTATATCACAGTTGTACAGTAGGACAGTAATTATTATATAGTTGTACAGTAGATTATTAATTATAGGTGAATCAAATTTGTATAAGACAAAAGATATATTCATATATACAACAATTCTTTTTGTGAAAACAATGATTCAATTATATTCCTGTCAACAATGGGTAAAAGGTTCAAAGTGATTGTTGAAGTTGATGTGGGAATAACATAAGTGAGTATGTGTGTACTGAGTATTTAGCGTTTAGTCTAGGGTGATTAAGTGGATTTTGAGAAGAGCCTTAAATTGATTTTCAGACCGGGTTACTTTAATGTCTTATGGTAATGAATTCCATATTTTGGGGCCCTTTATGTGCATAGACTTTTTACACAGTGTGATATGGACACGAGGTATATCAAAAAGAGATCTGTGTCTTGTGTTGTGGTCATGTGTCCTGTTTAGGTTGGTGAGAAGTTTGAGTGGAGGGTTTTTATTTGCGTGTATTGTTCTGTGTATGTAGTAGGTACATGAATAAGTATGGATGTTCTTAATGGTGAGCAGATTTAGACTTGAAAATTGGTGGAGTATGCTGGCGGGAGTGGGAATTTGTAATCATTCTTACTGCTGTCTTTTGCTAGGTTATTAGGAGTTTTAGGTGACTGAATGTTGTTGATCCCCATGCACAAATTCCATATGTATGATGAAGGTATATGAGTAAGTGGTACAGTGCCAGGAGAGCTGATTAGAGTGTATTGTTCTGTATATGAAGTACGATAATAAGAATGAATGTTAAGAGATAAGAGATAAGATAAGATTTCGTTCGGATTTTTAACCCCGGAGGGTTAGCCACCCAGGATAACCCAAGAAAGTCAGTGCGTCATCGAGGACTGTCTAACTTATTTCCATTAAGATAAGATTTCGTTCGGATTTTTAACCCCGGAGGGTTAGCCACCCAGGATAACCCAAGAAAGTCAGTGCGTCATCGAGGACTGTCTAACTTATTTCCATTGGGGTCCTTAATCTTGTCCCCCAGGATGCGACCCACACCAGTCGACTAACACCCAGGTATCTATTTGCTGCTAGGTGAACAGGACAATAGGTGTAAGGAAACGTGTCGGAATTTCCACCCGCCGGGAATCGAACCCGGGCCCTCCGTGTGTGAAGCGGGAGTTTTAGCCACCAGACCACCGGGCCACCATTAAGTAAGCAAGTTTATTCAGGTATACACAAATACAGTTTATCATACATATCAGAATAACCCCCAAAAAAGTCGTTTCAGTTTAATATGTTTATTATGCACCCCAGACCCATCCTGTGGTCGGTAGGGAGACACTGGTCAGAGAAATAGCAAACATCGAACTTAAGCTAAAGGAATCTTATAGGAGTCAGGAATCGCGGGAAGAACTAAAAGCCATAAATGAAATCGAAAGAAACCCAAAGTATTTCTTCTCCTATGCCAAATCAAAGTCGAGAACAACGTCCAGTATTGGGCCCTTACTTAAACAAGATGGGTCCTACACAGATGACAGCAAGGAAATGAGTGAGCTACTCAAGTCCCAATATGACTCAGTTTTTAGCAAGCCATTAACCAGACTGAGAGTCGAAGATAAAAATGAATTTTTTATGAGAGAGCCACAGAATTTGGTTAAAAACAAGCCTACTGATGTTAATCCTGACGCCAAATGATTTCGAACAGGCGATAAATGACATGCCATGCACTCTGCCCCAGGGCCAGACTCATGGACTCCCGTGTCATCAAAACTGCAAAAGCCCCTATCACGACCTTTACCACCTATGGAGAGGGAGCATGGACACGGGGTCGTCCCACAGTTACTAAAAAACAACAGACATAGCCCCACTCCACAAAGGGGCAGTAAAGCAACAGCAAAGAACTACAGACCGATGGGCACAACATCCCATATCATAAAAATCTTTGAAAGAGTCCTAAGAAGCAGGATCACCACCCCTCTAGAAACCCATCAGTTACACAACCCAGGGGGAACATGGGTTTTTGAACAGGGCGCTCCTGTCTGTCTCAACTATTGGATCACTACGACAAGGTCCTAGATGCACTAGAAGACAAAAAGAATGCAGATGTAATATATACAGACTTTGCAAAAGCCTTCGACAAGTGTGACCATGGCGTAATAGCGCACAAAATGCGTGCTAAAGGAATAACAGGAAAAGTCGGTCGATGGATCTATAATTTCCCCACTAACAGAACACAGAGAGTAGTCGTCAACAGAGTAAAGTCCGAGGCAGGCACGGTGAAAAGCTCTGTTCCACAAGGCACAGTACAGTGGACCCCCGGTTAACGAACTTTTTTCATTCCAGTAGTATGTTCAGGTGCCATTACTGACCGAATTTTTTCCCATAAGGAATATTGTGAAGTAGATTAGTCCATTTCAGACCCCCAAACATACACGTACACACGCACTTACATAAATACACTTACATAATTGGTCGCATTTGGAGGTGATCGTTAAGCGGGGGTCCACTGTACTCGCTCCCATCTTGTTCCTCATCCTCATATCTGACATAGACAAGGATGTCAGCCACAGCCGTGTCTTCCTTTGCAGATGACACCCGAATCTGCATGACAGTGTCTTCCATTCCGACACTGCCCAAGGCTCCTGGCGGATATCAACCAAATCTTTCAGTGGGCTGCAGAAAACAATATGAAGTTCAACGATGAGAAATTTCAATTACTCAGATATGGTAAACACGAGGAAATTAAATCTTCATCAGAGTACAAAACAAATTCTGGCCCACAAAATAGAGCCAAACACCAACGTCAAAGTCCTAGGAGTGATCATTCGGAGGATCTCACCTTCAAGGACCATAACACTGTATCGATCGCATCTGCTAGAAAAATGACAGGATGGATAATGAGAACCTTTAAAACGAGGGATGCCAAGCCCATGATGACACTCTTCAGGTCACTTGTTCTATCTAGGCTGGAATATTGCTGCACACTAACAGCACCTTTCAAGGCAGGTTGAAATTGCTGACCTAAAAAAATGTACAGAGAACCTTCACGCACGCAAACGAGATAAAACACCTCAATTACTGGGAGCCCCTTGGGGTTTCCTGAACCTGTATTCCCTAACGCAGGCGGAGAGATACATGATTATATACACCTGGAAAATCCTAGAGGGACTAGTACCGAACTTGCACACGAAAATCACTCACTACGAAAGCAAAAGACTTGGCAACGATCCCAACACCCCCCAATGAAAAGCAGGGGTCACTAGCACGTTAAGAGAGCCATTCTCTTTGGCACGAAACATAAACTGAGAAGGGTAAAAAATTTTTTAATGTTCAATGTAATGGGGAAGCCCATCACTTGGTTTCATCAGTAAAATATTTGGGAATCCCCTTTGACCCATGCATGTCAGGAGAATTGATAGGGAACAGTGTAGTAAAAGAAAGCGAATCCCAAACTGAAGATCCTGTATAGACAAGCACAGTGTCTACCTACTGAGGCTCGCAGGACCCTATGTCTAGCCCTTATCAATGCCATATGGGTTACGCTTGCTCTTCTTGGTACTCTGCCTTGACAAAAAAACTGAAAAATAGACTGCAAATCACCCAGAACAAAATCGTAAGATTCATCCTGGGGCTGGACCAAAAGAACATGTAGGCCAGGGGTGAATTACAGCAGTTGGTATGCAAATGTTGAAGACAGAGTAAAACAACTGAAGCTAAAACATGTTTATAAAATTGCTCACAAACAATGTCCCCGAATATCTTGCTGTCAATTTTGTCAAGGTTGGGAACCAAAGCAATCATAGTACTAGGGGGAGAGAGCACAACTTTTTAGTACCCACAGTCCCGTGGCCAGGCTTCAAACACCTTTTATTGTACAGCAATAAAGGAATGGAACAGACTACCCCCCACATGTCAAAGCCAGTCATAGCGTGAAACCCTTCAAGAAGAGTGCCAAAAGGTGTCTGGAATGTAGCTACAGAAAGGGAGGGAAGATTTTCTATTTTTTAGCTAACATACGTGTAAATTTTACCTTATTCCTTGTAATGACCCTCGTATTGTAGATAGTCTTAATGACCTTGGTGTAGCAGATAGTCTTTTTAGTATGATAATAAGATGTTATCTTCATTGTAGAATAATAAGAAAATATTATAACCTTTATACTATAATAATAAGGTAAAAGGACCCCAATGGAATAAGTCCCCTCTGTCTGACTTTTTTGGGTTATCCTAGGTTCCCCCACACATATGCTGCTATGTATGATAATTCTATGTAACTGTATTTGTGTTTACCTGAATAAACTTACTTACTTACTTACTTACTTACTTACTTACAATAAGTGTCAGGGGCCCGAGACTGTTCAACTGCCTCCCAGCATACATAAGGGGGATTACCAACAGACCCCTGGCAGTCTTCAAGCTGGCACTGGACAAGCACCTAAAGTCGGTTCCTGACCAGCCGGGCTGTGGCTCGTACGTTGGTTTGCGTGCAGCCAGCAGT